CCGAGGAAATAGGAGTCGGGTTGGCAAGCATAGGGGATCAAAATCTGGCTCTTGTATTCCTTTAGAAGATGATTGAAATCAAAGGGAGTAAATCAAAGGAGGAGCGGAGGATAAAATGAAAATTGCGAATATAAGTAAAGTTTACCTACGGGATTTCATCTCGGTCGCCATTGAAGATTTGAAGGAGGTCCGAGGTTGCTTATTTGAAAGCTTGAATTTGTGGGCAATGGCTGCGGTTTTGAACGGTGATGACCTAGGAGAATGAAAGAGCTTGTGGTCAATTTTAGAATAAAACAACTTTTATCCCAAAATTGAGGGGGCATGTGTTAACACTGGATTTTGGTCGATTCTGGAAGATGACAGGTAGTCCCACATGCGGGAAGAAGGGTATTCGGCAAACAAAGCAAGCGGTCGGCTAAATGCATTGCGGTCGGTTACTCGTATATGCGGTGATTCCATTCGGGAAAAACAGAAGATGGCGAGCAAGGCCGATCGAAAAGGTGAAAGTTGTAATAGTAAAGGACTCTAAAAGTTTAGGGTAAGGAATCGTGAGTTTCCAAGTTTATTTAAAGGTTCCTTTGTAAATCGTAGTCCTCTAGGACTCGTGTTTTGTCTAGGGTATAAATATTGACCCTCGACCATTGTAATGGGCGTTCACAACCAAATCAATACAACCGCCCCGTGCCAACTTTCGAGTCCTTTTGTCGTGGTCGCCGAGTTCTTGAGAGAGGAGTCATCGATCCGTCGACCTCCGTAAGTTCCGACAACCTTGTTATCATGTTTAGTATCATGCGGTGGATTTAGACGTGATGCAAATAGTCTTGTTTGTTTTCAATGGTCGTATGGCGGATCTTTGTTTGACAATCAAGAAGTCTTTGCTTATGCTTTGTTTATGAGTAGATACCGTGCGTGTGCGTTTGCTCAATATGCTTAGTGAAAGCAAGATAGTTATCGACTCTTTTAGATATGGCAAATATAAATAGATTCATTAAGTTATCCAGTGTTGCATGTTACGGAACATTTTATATATATTTGTAACATACTTCTGCCCAATCTAGATTGATATTGTTCGGTCTTTTTCTCTCTTGTGGTTTTATTCGTGCTTCAACGATCATTGCTTTTCATAATACCTTTGCAATCAGATAGTGTGCATATAATGGCTGAATTATTTTAATCTAGATTGTCACATGTCATGGGTTCATGCATATTAATCATGTTTAAGCTTTAACAAAACCAGTGTGTCGTGCGGCGATGCACGGTTTTAGATTAGTTTAATCGTTTTTTTTTATTTGCACGCTCTTCTTCATGGACCCCAATTAATTTGAACTGCCGAGCTTGGTTATGCATTAACTCATAATTAATTTCACTTGTTCAAACATGTCTTCCCATGCACGTATATTCGCAATCAGGTCTCCACGTGCATTCATCTTACTATTAGTGAACGGTTTATGAACTCATTGGCGCATGACTCTCTAGTCTGTATGTCGTTGTAAGTGGCTTCGTGGTCGTATATGTGGAAGCGTCGGTATTACCCGACATGTTCCGGTTTGACATTTAATTGTTTTGTCCTTGTTAGTTTTTTTCAGGTCAAACCGACCGCACGCTTCGGATAACGAAGCACCGGAACCCGATTGAAGCTACGCGCCGACTTGTCGTGTGTGTGAGGCACAGTGCGTCACATTTTGTGTCAACAGCGTGCCATCATCATCTGATCCTGAGCTCTGAGCTGTCTGACCCTCTGTAGCTGGAAGCGACGCTGAAGCGGTCTGGGTCGGATCAACAACTGGTACGGCCTGTGATGCTGCAGGTATGACTGACGTAGGTGGCTCTGATGATGCAACTGAGGAAGGGAGCGTCTCTGTAATCCCGGTAATAGGTGCAACTATGGAAAGACCTGGGACATGTAGATATGACGGAGTAGGCTACCCTGTCAACTCACTAAATATCGCTCCAAGGCTCCTGGAGACTGAGGTATCTGGCACAAGCAGCGAGGACGTCTGAGCCGGTGTGAAGCCCGTCTAAAGAGGTGTGAACTACGGGGCTAGCACTGGCAAGACAAACCACTGGGACAACTACTCTGTAGGTGAAGCAAACTGTGCTGGTGGCTGTCCCTAACTCTGAAGCCCACTAGACTGTAATGCTGAATACCCTGCTGCTGTTTCTAGAACTCATCCTACCGAGTCTGAAACTGTGCAAAAGTGGCAGTGGTCTCCTGTGCCAGATGAGCCTGATCCTGCCTCATTCGCTCAAGTATAGCAAGTAGAGCGGGATCTCTCTGCGGTGCAGGTGGAGCTGAACTAGAACTACCGGCCTCATGATTATGTCGTCATGGAGGCATATGAGGAATAGCCTGGTAGTCATCATCTGAGCTGTCACTGGGGTCGCTCTCTACCATACCATCCTGTTGAGCATCAAGCTGCTCCTCCTCTATAGCTGCAATGCCCCTGATGGTCTCATCCTGCTGGGCTGCAGTCTCTGGCACCTTAGGGCGACGGCGTGACTGGCTAGGTGCACTAGGCCTGCTATGCCATATCATCTGAGTCATGTTGTAGGTAGGGAACTTTGTCGTAGCACCACTATACTCAGCTAGCATCTCAGGTGGCCTCACTGTAACTGCCCTATGGATAAGAAAAGTGATTCCATGGCTTCACAGTAATCACGTATTGTTATTAATCACCGAAACCCAACTAAGGGACTAGATGCTTTCAGGAGCCATTTGATCCTAATATCGAGCCTGCGAGTTTGTTCAGACTGAGTTATGGGAGCGATCTCAATCCATGGAGCCATTCTTCATAGCTAGCACTACAATATGTACATTTTTCTAGACCAACTCGTCTGACGGTAAAGCAGCAGATCATATCGTCTATAGTGGATTTCACCTGGATAGACTGACTAGACAAACCAAACAGGCTATTAATTTATACTGCTTAGCAAGCCATGCTTGCGTGAAACCATAGGTTAGTATGAATTTTTACTATAGGATTTAACCCACATGGAGACTAACTTCATCAATCTTAACAACTATTGGCTCAAATTTTCAAAGATGCAAATGGAGTAGAGTATATAAATATGTGCTTTTATAGAGAGAGTAGAGTATATGAGTGTGTGCTTCTATAGAGATGAGTGTATGTCACTACCAGACTTAGAATTATTCTGGTCAGTTCTGGTCATCGCTGATGGTTTTCTAAAAATCGACATGAACTGTTGTCGGGCGGATAAAACCAAAGGGAAAGACCTATATTATTCCTGACAGTAGTGGAAGAACCGTAAAAAATTCAAAACCTGTCACGAACTTAATATGTGCTAGTTGACCTACATCATCATAAAACATCATTTAGCCTTTAAAAAACTCATCAATTTTGGTATTTGGCCAAGAAATCAGTAATTGACCAACATGTATTGCATCCCATGATGAATTTTATAATCAACTAAAGTTGAATCGTCCTTGTAGGTTACTCAGTCATCTCATGCTGAAAATGAAGCTTTTGGTTCTCATAACGGAGATGGCAAGTTGGCAACTAAGACAATTGGGGCAACATTATTAATCTGGAATGAAAAGGCAAAGGGTGCATTTAACATCTTTTGTCTAGTTAGTATTATGCTCCTCTAAACTCGATATAGCTAGGGCTGGACTTGTGTAATATGTGAACATATAGTATAGGAGTTGTCATGTTGTTGAATTCCTAATGTCGGAATCAAGTAATATGTATTGATCAGTCACAAACATTTGTATTTCTATGACATGTGAATGTGATGAATAACATACCTTTTTCATGGATAATGGGTTAAGGCACAAACATGTCAATTTGTGAGTGTATCCATCAGTTACAATTATTGGATTAATGGTTATATTAAATTGTACTTCTAGTGTATTTGGGTTTCCTATCGGTCTGGTCATTTATCATATCGGCACTCATGTCAAGAAAATAATCAGAACTTCTATTGGTTTTGTTTTCTTGACGGTTATGTTTGCAGAACCAAGGTTTGACTGATCAAAACAAAATCGTCAGGGGCTACCGTCAGGAATTATTTTTTGATGGTCAACCGTCACAAAAAGCCAGAAATATCCTGACGGTAGCCGGTCAATAATATGATTCCTGACTTTTTTTTTCCTTTCTATATGGTTTCTATGTCTGGTAGTGTGTGTATTGTGATGAGAGAAGAAAGAGGGGGTTATTTTGCTCGTATATGATCATGTGAGGTGGTAACTGGCTATTTGCCGTTTCTTCTGTCTTAGTGCAATAACGCACATATCTCCTGCGTGCGGACATGAAAACACGACTTATAAAATGATTGCTTCTTTAGGCAGGTATAATCTATGGGATAATAGGGACTACAACATCGACATGGAGAGAAAGAAGAGGCTTTTGGGTTGAGGTAGTCATAACTCGTAGGCAAAAGGTTGGTATGGCGATCTGAAACCTGCTACAGTGCTATCTTCCCACTTCAATCGATTTGTCAAAGGGCCCGAGCAATGTTCTGACAAGTCACAAGAAACACCGCCCTTTGCTACTTATAGAACGTTATAAATTACAACCATAGGTTCCAGAGAAAGCTTGATACAAGTACACAAATTGACGTCTTCTAAGATTCCATTGTAAAACTAAATATAATTTGAATGGAAAGCTACAAGAAACAGTATTTCTTCGAATTCAATCTCAATGTTACATGTTACAAAAACGATCAGACAGCGTGTATAGTTTCAAGAACAAAGCTACGTCAGTAGTAGGCTAGCAGCCTCTTGCTGCCTACCACAATATTTTTACTATACACCGTACATGATTAATCTGAATCATCAATCAGCTAGCGAAGGTCAAATCTACGTGGAACCAAGCAGCCCATCAAGCCTGCTTGAATTATAGTTCAGCTCTGACTGTGTCCCTGACAAATGTTCACTCTGTACAGAATGTCATCTTTAACTGTGTCAGGATGTCTCAGAGATACCATATGAAGAGATCTGCAGATATTTTGTTAAGTTTGCTGGTAGATTGCAGGTAAACCTACCAGTGACCATTCCGGCCATCTACTGTAGTAGGTAGTTTGTTTGGGATGTATGGCTTTGGCTGTCTAGTTTGGCTTGCATTAATCCTGTCAGCCTCGCTTGTTTCGCTCTTGCAGGTAGGAATTGTTCTGGAGTATGAGCTCCTAGGTGAAATACCAGTAGCACCAATTGCTGGGTTTTTAGCTGTCCTTCTCTGTTCATATTGGTTGGCAGCAGATGATGAACTGTTACCATATCGCATTGCAGAACTAACCACTCTAGCAGGCCTTGTAGCACCACCTACCATTCGAAGTAACACAAAATGAATGAGAAATAACAGAAAATTCCACTAAAGAGAAAAGAAAAAAAAACATTAGAAAGAAAAAACAAGTCCAGGATATAATTCAATACGGAAAATTTATAATTCCCAACAAAACAAATAAGAATCTATTGCCATGGATCAATTATCCAGAACACCAGTGGTAAAACCATTGTTGAACAAAAGTAGATAGCAAAGTGCACAAATAATTGATAAACAAATTCACCCCACTAGTCTAGTACACAGCCATTTTCGCCCATAACGTTTAGCATGGTGACAAGCTCAGGATGACTTGAAAGGGATGATCCCAAGGGGTCAAAACAAGAAAGTGAGGTGGGTGCAGTGTTCAGTATTTTATTTTAGAAGAAAATATCAGATCCTGCTGAAAGGTTACCAGCATGACACAAAAATTCTAGAACTTTTTGGAACAAAACATTCAAATTTAAGTTTGATATAACGAAAAGGTAAAACAAAATAAAATTAGTGTCTGAAGTACGAACATAGGCGTGACCCATCCAAGACAACTTGCTTATCACTGGCCCATGAGGATGTATGCATGCTGCAGGAACAAGTTCCTTTTGAAGTTTAAACTTTAAACATGTTTGATTATGGGTTGATAGATGCTTTCCATCTGCAGCCACCACATGATTGCTCTGCCTGATCTGCAAAGGGAATTGAGTTTGGATGCATACAGTGAGGACAGATGGAGCAAAGAACATGGTCATTTGGCAACCAGAGTCAGCTCATTGGTGACGGATCTAATGTTGGCGGCGCTGATGGAGTTGGGAGCAGAGAGAAACGAGGAAGAAAGGGACTCCTCGCGTTGTGCCCTCGCAGAGGGAGGGAGGGAGGGACTAGAGGCTACGGGCAAGGCAGAACATTAGGTGGGCTGAATGGATCAAAAGCACAAAAGCCCATCTTATACTTTTCCTTTCCTTTTATGTCTCTAACCTTGACCCAAACTAACCACTTCGACCAGTGTCCTCAGAAAGCCACAACTCGCATCCCTCAGCCCTGACTGGCGACCCAGACCACCCAAATTTTCTGGTGATTGTGTTGACTCACTCTTACCTAGCAAGGTGTGACTAATTCGAATTGGGTCAGGCACATTTCTGCTTCAATTCCACTTTCAACATGAACAAGATGCACAACCATAAGTATATAGAAAATAGCAGTCCAAGATGCATCATGAGGAATGACCATGTCCATAACATTATAATGAGGAAGTATAATTTAGACACCAAAGCAGCCGATTTGCATGAATAAGGGAATAGACCATCAACAAATTAAACAATCATGACTTAAGTGATGAATGGAACACATGCTGCTAAATAGGAATTTGTTGCACAACCTGTCACTGATTCTGCTGCGAGTTCTGAAGATTATTGATGTATAGCAAAAAGATATTACTTTATGTTGTTAGCAATGATGATGTGCCAATAGCTTTTTGGAGGCTACACGTGCTCACCTTGAGGAACTCTATTTGCACCAATAGAGGAAGAATCTAGCTGTCCCCTCTGCGTTTCATCTCTGATTACACACTTGGAAAGATCCTCCATGACATTGGCTGTGCTTTGGGTTCGATTATCCGAATATAACACACAAGGCCTGTTTATGCACAATTGTCAAGTATAGAAAAAGATGCACTCAGTCAAATGTTAGGTTTTTAGTTAAATTAAGCCACAAGAGGGGGAATGGAAATATTACCTTGGAAGAGAGTTGTGTTGCCTCTCAGGTGGAGCTGCTGTTGATCCCTTTGCATAGTGTTCTTCAAGATATGCAAATTGCTTCTTAAAATGATCCACAGCACTGCAAGCAGAGTAGTGCAATTCAGTTTAGTCCAATGATGCAGCCGAGCCCAGTTCAATCAACCATCACCCCTCCCACTTCAACACAACAAAATATTTAGGGAAAATTGCGTTCTTGCCCTTGTCCAGCACTCCAATTGTGATTTTGCCCCTCTTTTTTTAACTTTGTGATTTTACCCTCGCTTTTTTCAAACGAAGCTCCCGTCTACCCCTGCTTTGTAACACCGTCTAAAATGCTTGGATTAAATGGTAAAAAAATAGAAAAAAGAAAAGACACCTACATGAAAAGACAATGATACCCCTCAGTCCCTCCCTCCTTTCTCACCCGTTCCCGACGAGAAGTCGCGGCTCGCACAAGGTTTCGCGGCCTGGCAGCTACCGGCGGCGGCGCTGTTTCTCCTCCCTCCTTTCCCGCTCTCCCCCGGCGTGGCTCATCCTCCCTCCTTCCCGCTCCCCCCGGCGCGTCTCCTCCCTCCGCCACACTCCAGTGGCGCGGCTCGCGTGTTAGGGTTTGGGGAGTACCGGCGGCGGTGCAGCTCATCCTCACTCCGCCCGCTCCTCCCAGAGGCTCGCGCCCATGATGGCTGGGCGCCGCGTGGCTGGCTTGGCTGGCGACCTCCGACACCTCCCAGCTCGCGCGCCGCTGTGTGCTGGGGGCCCGCCGCCCCCATCCCTCGCCATTGTGGTCGCGGCCGCACCATCTCTTTGCTCCGATCGGGCACCTCTGGGATAGCGGCATCAGGGGCGAGGCAGAGCGTTGGGGCCTCATGGTGCTTGCCGCCCACCTTCCTCATCTTCTTCTCCCGCCGTGGCCGTCGTTGCTTCCGGCGACGGACACCATCCTCCCCGACGCGGGCATCTCCGGAACCGGACACTCGTGTTCAAGAACGGCGACTTCGAAGGTGGGATTCTTCGCCCGGCGCCGACATCCACCGCTTCTGGGCGCCCGCTTCAAGAGGATGACGAGCACCAGCCCCACGCTCGGGTCGGGGCGGGGTCGGCATATCCGACCTCTCCGCCTGTGGTGATGCGTGTCTTCGCCCGGTAGCCTATGCATCACGGAGGCTGAGTCTACCTGTTGGTGTTCGCCGTGGCGGGCCGACCCACGGCCATGGTGCTTCTTGGCGACGGCAACATGGTGGTGAGGGACTGTGCCAACGCCTCGCAGGTCTTTGTGGCGAGCTCGATTCCCGGCGATTCGCCGCTCCCCGGCACAAGCTCGGGCTCACCGGCGACACGGGAGCCAACGTCTCCTTGACGTACAAGAGTTACTCGCACAATGGCAGCGTCGGCGTCGGCCGGAGCGGGGAGGAACGGGTTCGTGCTCACCACCGATGGGCATCCGGCCTTGGGACCTTCCCGGATTGGATGGTGACATCACAAGACAACGGCAGCTCACTGGTGCTGAATCCTCCGGACAGCCCTAATCTGACCGAGTTCTTGCAGTTCCTCCTGGGGCAAGTCAGCTTGATGCGGTGGTCAGAGGATTCTGCAGCGGCCAATAGCAGTGGTTGGGTACCTCGTTGGACCTTCCCTTCAGATTGCAAAAACAGTGGCTTCTTTTGTGGCAATTTCGGTGCTTGCACAAGCAATGGCAAATGCGATTGCGTCGATGGATTTGAGCCTTCCTATCCATCTGAGTGGAACCTCGGATCCTTTGCTACTGGTTGCTCGAGACCGAGACTCTTCCACTGAGCTGCGAGACGAATGGCCAGACTGAACATGACGACTCTTTTATCCTGCTGGACAAGCTGCAGGGGCTCCCTTATGATACTCAGAATGATTTAGCAAGAAGTGATGAGGATTGTAAGCAAGCCTGTCTCAGCAAATGCTACTGTGTCGCATATGTGTATGACTCCGGATGCAAGCTGTGGTACTACAACCTGTACAACCTGAGTTTTGCTTCTAGACCTCCATACAGCAAGGTTTATGTTCGTTGGGGCTCCAAACTCAGGGCCAAAAATATAGCAAAGGTGCTGCCAAAAATTTGAATATTTATCAATATTAAATCTGAGTTCAAATAATTGCAAGTTATGCCAAATATGTTTGACCAAATTTAATCAATTGTCAGCATACAATAAAAAAGTCTAATTCCAAATCAGGGTAAAATCACAATTAGGCATAACAAACAGGGGCAAAATCGCATGGGCATTCATGTCCTTTTGTACAAAGTTTAACACCGTTAGGGGTGGATGATAGAGCAGGGGCAAACTGGTGCTTCGTGAATGGTACATTAGGGGTAAATTCATAAAGTCAAAAAAATAGGGGCAAAATCACAATTTCGATACAAAACAAGGATACAAACGCAAGAGCCCCAAATATTTAAGTCTACTCTGATCTTTGTTTGTTACTCTCCAAATAGATTGAGTTTGAAATTGTATGCATGATACACCAAAATGTGCATTTGCAATCTGTAGTTCCCTGCAATTACTTTTCCACAATTATTCATTACATCTGCAAAACAGTTAACTACCAATTACTACCTCCACATCGCCTTCGCCCAAGAAAAAAAAAAAAAAACACTTGACATTCTAGTTTTGTCCTAAGTCAAACTATTAACTATCTTATTTTTGACCAAAGTTATACAAATAAACAATATTCATATTACCAAATAAGTACCATTAGATTCATCATGGATAATATTTGCACAGTATATTTCTCCTTAATATAAAAGATATGCAGCTCTCCTGCGTGTTGGAGAAAACAATACTTTCATAGTATACCTATTTGGTGTAAAATATGTTGACCTCTATAAACTTGGTCAAACTTAAGATAGTTGACTTTACACAAAACTTAAACATCAAATTTTTTTGGGATGGAGGTAGTACATGCCTAACTGTGCCATACTAGTATTCATTTTTTTTAAAAAAAATAACAGTAATAACGAGATAAAAACGCATAAGTGTGTTTAACAAAGAACTAGACAGTCTAAATTTATTTTAACGAATATGCAGGGAAACTGTGCATCATTGCATTAATAGGAGTTACAGCACACACACACACACACACACACCACTGACAGTGACTTCAGTCAAATATTTTGATGCAATGAGAAAAAAAAACTTGGCATGACAACACACCTTGGGTACATGAAACCAGTTGACTCAGTCCCCTCAAGGAATTCTCTCAACATATTTGGATGATACTCCAGAATTTCTCTGTAGATGAGTTCCCTTATATCTTCTTTGGTAATCCTCCGCCTCTCAAACTCAAATTCCAGCTTTGTCACAGGCTGTGCTGATGGTTCTCTATCCACATTGGCTATGTTCTTGAAATATGGATCAGCAAGGGCCTGAATGTATAAGGTCAATTAGATGTTGTTAACATTCAGAGGACGGGTGCTGCTATTTGATAGGAAAACAAGCAGATTATTCAAAAAAATATATACCTCCTCTGCACTTGGCCTATCTTTCGGATCAAAAGCTAGCATCTTCTCCAATAAACGTAATGCAAGTGGATCTGCATTCGGAAATTTCTGAGTAAGCGGTATAGGCCTTTTCCGCCTCATACTACTCAGGTAGCGCTTGGCCTTCTCATTTCGAATCTGTTCCATGAAGTGTACATGGAGCAGAAATCATTAGAAAGTAATTGAAGATGACAAGTGACTCTTTTATATGTAAAAATAATACCCACCCAAGAGATTACTTCAGGAGATGGTGTTCCCAGGAGATCTGTAATTATATCAAGTTGATGTACCACATTTTTCCCAGGAAAGAGAGGTTTTCCAGTTAAAAGCTCTGCAAATATACAGCCAATGCTCCATATATCTATTGCTGGAGTATACTGCAACAATTCAAAACATTAGAATGTTCAACAATGCTCCAGAGAATCTACAGTACAGAAGCATGTCTAGAATGCAAAACTCGGAACTATGCAGCATCCAATTTTATGCACAGAGAAAAAAAAAACACAGAATAACCTTTTATTCCAACACAAGCTACCAAAAAAATAACAGGGTAAAAAGCAAAGAGTATTAGTAATAGTAACAATAGTAGTATAATATTTGATACAGAAGTATGTGAGAAAATTTAATGTGAAGAAGGTTGAATAAATAACAGCATGTACACTACAAAAGTAACTAAGTGATTACAAATGTCGCAACAGGCACAAGATTAATTTTACAGGCTTACAGCCTAGTCCATGTATACAAGCAATCACATCAGGTAGAACTAGAAACATTATGAAATTTAGAACTCCTACAGAATCCTAAAATGTTCACCGGATTAACATAACAGGAAAAAAATCATTGACATTCAAGCGCAGGATTCATAACAGTCATCAGATCACTAACCTTAGAGAAAAAAGATCCACACAGCTCAGGAGCTCGGTACCATCTTGTTGCAACATAATCCTAAAAGTATATTAAACAATACATGATAAAATGATGGGCATGTATAACATTAATGTGTTTTTATCTGTCAGAGTTGAGTTTTTTGTACCGTCCAGAAGATGGCAGTAGGAGTATCATTGAAAGCTACTCTTGCAAGTCCAAAATCACATATTTTAAGCTTGCAATCAGCATTGGCCAAAATATTTTTGGGTTTTAGGTCTCGGTGAAATACATTTGCTGTGAAAAAAAAACAACAATGAATAGAATGCATTGGATTAATTGATATTGACGCTAATGACCAGAACAAGATAAAATGGTGTGTTTACAAAAGAGTTTTGTTCGTTCTGCTTTCTAGTTCCTAAATTTTTGCCACTACTTATTGAAAATATTATTGTTTGTTTGTACAAATTGACTAGTGCAACTACAAAAAATATAGCTTCTGCAAGACTTCCACTTGACACAAGACAACAATTTAGTTATTATTATTGCAAGAGTCAGCTATTTCTAATCATATATAAAAAAAGGACAGACCCAGTGCCGGAGGCTCCCACATGAGTGGGGTCTGGGGAAGGGAAAAACCAAGGCAAGCCTTCCCCGCAAATCTGCGGAGAGGCTGATAAATTTTTTTGGAAAATCCTCCTCTGTATCACAAGGGAAATACTTCATATACAGCGAGTTTGGATGACAAATCACAACCATGTGACTGGTTAGCACAGCTCAAATAGGACCCCAAGTACCAGGCTCAACTTCCTGTGGGAGCGAATTTAAACAAGCCTCTGTTAAAAAACACTCCTTGTTGGTTGTAGTCCTAAGTTATACGTGTAACCAGTCCTGGCACTTGGTGGCACGTCCAGGGTAACCGGCCTTCAGGGTGTTTCTTGGCCTGCGCGCGAGAAGCTTCTTCTTAAGTGCAATGCCGTGGGGTGGTCTTTCCCAGGCAGGTTGTTTTTTTAAACCCTCCAAAGTTAGTCACCACCCATGTTATCTGAACCCAATGATCTCTTGGATGTAAAGAGTTGCAAAGCCATGTTGTGTGTATCGCTCTTGTTTCAAGCATGCTTCTCATGGGAAATTAAAAATGACTGCACCTCTGCAACAAATTATAGGGTCTTAAGAAGAATAGTATACCAAGCAGGACAAATTAAAAGGTGACAAGCATACCTACGAAAGCTATTCTCAAATCAAATTCTAGAAGTAGAACATGTTCCATGGGCAAAGTATGTAGCTATAGGTAACTGGGGGTCGAGGAACAGTTACACAAGGTATCGGCAGGGCCATGTATAGAGTGAAAGAATGCAATGTGGGTGGAGATGCACAGGAGTAATAGAAACATAAGGAAAAGAAAGAGGAAAGGAACCGAGATAACTTCATGATTCCTTCGACAGAGCCTGATCCCATATAGGAGATAGGGCCTAAAAATGGAAATTAACTGTTTGGTAAGTAATCGATCTTACCGATCTTACCCAAACAAATTACAAAAAGAGATATGTTTACTGTTTAGCACCTAAATGTGGCTGGCTAGGGTTGGCTGCTCCCTGCATGGGCACCTGCTATACTCGTGACACCATACGAGAACCTGATTAAGACGACGAAGTAATAAAAAAATTTAAATTCCTGCAGACAACGGGGAAGCTTGATTTGCACCAGAATGAAAAATCTTGTTTCACTTCCAGATACTAAGATGGCTAGACATCATTAGAATAAAAAGTAAAAAAAAAAGCTGACACAGCCTCCTTTTTGATGAAAAGATATTATAGCCCCCGTGCCCGTACTAGGATGATTCTACTAGGCCTTGTCTCAATCGTCTGCATGAGATCTATGTCACCCCCCATGACCATATGCAGCAACTGTTGGCTATGGCCCCGTTTGGATCCACTAGCAGCTCATAGTTAGCTGGCTACCTATTAGTTGTCGTTGTTTGGATCTAGGGGCTAAAAGGTGGGTGCATTTATGGTTTTGTCAATCATGCCCTTCACCTTTTAGAGGCTATTAGTAGAGCACATGGATAGAAAAGTGTTTTTTCGCAATCTATTACTGCTATCAGCTGGGTTGGGGCAGCCAGTGAGATAGTTGTCCGCTGGGTGATTTTTAGCCGGCCCATTAGCTAAGCCTATTGGGATCCACCCCAGCTAATTGTTAGCAGCTAATACTTATAGTTAGCTGGGTGGATCCAAACAGGGCCTATGCAACTCTCTCCAGACTCTAAGTTGTATGAGACACTCAAAAAAAAAAATGAATTGCAGTGTGAGCATAATATACCAATCAAGTGATAAAAGGAAAAGTGAAAGGAAACAGAGTGTAGTTTTCCTGGCCAGGTAGTTAGCATTTCACCTAATTATAAATATCCAAGTATCCTGCACCTTTCTATTCCATTACTCCACTAAGAAGCATGGGTATATAGGCACGTTCCACCTGGAACATCTAGCATACTTAATTAGGGACAAAAGGTTTTTCCTAAAACAACAATTATGGTTAACATGTGGAAAAAGAAAAGAATACTGATGAAAATTACATGCATCTAAAACATAATGATTATTGATGACAGAGGACCATTCACTTCTAGAAACAGCACTCCTTGAAGTAAAAGGTTAGAATATGGAAAGGGAAGATTTTTCATATGAGAATAACTAGTTACCTGTATGTATGTACTTCAATCCTCGAAGTAATTGATACAGGAAAAATTGATAGTGTTCTGGAGTCAAGTCATCATTAGCCTTTATAACTTGGTGTAAATCAGACTCCATGAGTTCAAACACAACATATATATCCTTGAATTCCCTCCTTGATGGAGGAAGTAAAATATGTTTTATTTCTACAATATCCGGATGTCGCAGGAGCCGAAGCAGCTTGATCTCACGAAGTATACGTGTTGCATCAGACACATGTTCAAATATTTCATTTATCTTCTTTATTGCAACCTTTTCGCCAGTGTGAGTGTCCAAAGCAGAGCAAACCACGCCGTAACTTCCTTTTCCTATGACCTCTTCTATCTTGTACCTGCTTCCCTCACCATACTCAGTGAAAAAATCCATTCAGGGGACGCCTGCATCACACAGGATAATGAATGAATAAGCTTAAACAATGTTGTTCCCAGAGTCATTTTAGATTATTGATACAAATACATTTGCAGATAAGCTAAAATAGACAAAGAGAATAGGATACAAGTAACATTATATCTTTCTTAATTCTAAGATTGTATGGTTAGACCAAGACACAAATGTAAAGGAAATGGGAAATCAGCACTGACATAAACAGCTTGAGCTAACTAATCAATTTGTTTGGAGGACTGTAAACAGACCAAGCATGAGCAAAACGCACAGAAGTGTAAAACAACCTGAAGCTTAGGAGTTAGGAAGAAGGAAGCAAAACTTGATATTTTGCATTGATTTTGCACAAAGGCACAGGCTTTCTCAAACCAAAAGCAAGAATCAATAAAATATATCCTGCTAACGACATGGATTTAGAATCCAACAGACCAACACCACATCACACATGCAACTTGGAAAAGGAAGGGAACTTGACTTGTCCCTGGATGAACAGCAGCAGTGAGATAGCCCTGCCACCTCTGCCAATGACGAGGGTGATGCAGACATGCATCTGAATCTGACTCCCATTCCAGAAACAATTGATGTTGCCCCCGCTTAGTGATGGCAAGGGAGTGCATGGTGCTGACACTGGCCAGTCCATGGTGAGGATCCATGAGTTGCTACAGGTAAGTGTTTCCACGCTGCTGGGTGCAAGTGTATTGGCTGCACCAAGCATGAAGATGGACTCCACAACCACTTGCACGAAGAGGCAGCAACCAGAGAGGGGGTGAGGAATTGTGAGGTGGAAAAGGTATACACAGCCCTACCGAAACAGACAAGATTAATGTAACTAGTTAATGCTGTAATTAATGAATCCTTGAATGAAATACCATCCAAATCGCAAACACCTATTTTCAAAAGTACATTCATTTCCAAAATATTTAAATGTGTGCTGCCTTCTATTGTTATTATGCCCGAAATTTCAGTAATCAATACCTAAAAAAATTTGTTCAGCAATCGGCATTAAAAAAAATCTTTCTTAATATTTTGGTTCAGTGCATATCAAGAAAACAGATCCAAACAATAGACCATTGGCAGATAGCAATACCATAGGCACCTGATTTCCAGGTTCAACAATACAACCCCCTTCCAGCCAGCAAATCAAGTCGCCAGGCATTTGGAGATACAAACCTTCCAGCCAGCAAAGCAAGTCGCCACCCATTTGGAGCTACTCTCAGCAATACGGAGTGACTGCCATTGAAATTTCTAGCCGAGCAGGATTGTTGAACAGAAAGTCAACAAATTATCAAGAGCTCCAGGCTTAAGCTATCTGCCCAAAGCGAGTATGTTTGCAGAAAGCAATTGACCATCGAAGAGTCGTGCAGACACGGACGGACGAACTACGGATCCTACAGTTGAACCCCAAAACATTTCGAAAAATAAACTGCAGCTGCATCTTGGAGGTGTCAATTTATGTCGATCTTGGGCGCAGAACAAAAAAAAACGACCATTCACATGTAGATTCAGATCAGTTGCAGGGCAAAAAAACCGCGACAGACTGAATAGCGAGAAAGAAAGATTTGATTTTGGTTCTGAGAGCAAAACTAAATCTTGGAACAAATCCATGGAAGCTACGAGTCGAGGGCTAGTGGGATTACTTGTACCAGCAAAAGGGGAACAAATCCACGCCCGTGACGGAGGGGCCAGCGCTGTGGTGGCGCAGCAGCGAGCTGAGGATGCGGCGGCGGAGGATCCAGCTGAGATGAGAGGATGACAAAGGACGGCGGCCTCGTGCTCGCAGTCGGCAGCTGTGCGGGGTTTTTTTTTTTTTTTTTATTTAATTTGTCCAGGTTTTGGACTTTTATGAGCCACATGTGATTGGGTGTTGTCGGAGCTCCGAAGTAAGAAGGCCGTTCTAGGCCCATTTGGCAGCTTTCGGCCTTCCTGTCAAACGGTTTTAACAGGAGGAGGTTGCACGGACAGCGCTATCATGGAGCCGTTCGTTACTGGATCGCATTCGTTCGTTCTCCGTAGCAAGTTGCACGGACGAGCGACTCTGCTCGCATACGCCGCCGCCCGTTGCCGGTGGCCGCCCGGACAGTCCCCCTCCGCCCAGCCAAGGGCCCGACGGCCTAGGGTTTGGGGCGGCTGTGCTCGTCCGTCGCCGTAGGCAGCCCACCGCCGGTCTCCCTGCTCCAGCAGGCCGTCCTCCCCTCCGTCCTGATGGCTCCTCCTCCTGAGTAAGGCCCCGATCTCACATCTCTGTTCTCAGTCGATCTCAAATCTTTCTTCTCAGCTTCTCAGTTTTACGGTACCTGTTGCTTTTGCGGAGGGACACCAAATTGATTTTTTTTCTCTCTCTTTTTTTTTTTACACACGGTAGAGTCAACAGGGATGACGTATTTAGGCTGTGTTCAGTTTTCTCAGTTTATTGCTAAGTTCAATGATGGTTGCTCTATGCCACGGAAATATGATGAATAGGTTGTGGATCTTCGATCTTATACTTTGGAGACGCTAGAAAATGACCCGAAAGCTAGGGTCAATTGGGGAAGCGGGCAGCAGCCTGTAATACATGAGTTTGACATGAGTGGTGGTGGGAAAAGGAAAGTGCTGAATGATATAGAACTGTCCCTTACATTTTCTGAAAGGATGGGTGATAAGAAGCTATTCTTGTTTGTCGATGTTGAGAAAAAACCCACGACTATAACAGAGGCAGCAACAAGCAATGTGGGGCATGATAATCCATAGGACCAATAGATTCGAGCAATGAGGCATTTGTTTCTCATGCAATTGATTGTGATAGTTTGAAGATTATTCCTCTTACAGAAGATCAAATTGGTGTCGCACTCCCTGCGATGGATGAGGATGTAATGTATAAGTTTGTTTGCCTTAGGGCAGAGGATGAGAGAGTTGAGCAAGCTAGGATGGTGGCTACAAAGAAAAATAAAACTAATCTTGATGATGTGGAGCTACAGGATGCAAAGTTGTTGGTTGATGATCGTATACCTGGTGAGATGAGGATGCTGTGTTCCATAATAGAGAAGACCCTCCAATGAAAGTTGGAACCAATATGCTAGTATGAATGAATTCAAGGCTGTAGTGCAGCAGCATGCTATAAAGGGACAATTTGAACTTGCAACATAGAAATCTTATAAAGACTTGTTCAGAGGGCACTGCAAAGCTGAGGGTTGTCCATAGTCTATTGTAGCAAGGTTGATGCCTGATCAACAACAAGTCAGGGTACTAACACTTTTCATATGCAATATGCTAGCTTAATGTTTTATGCAGTATTAGTCCTCACGCATGTTTTATGCTAACTTAATGTTTTATGCAGGTTACAATGAATAAAGAAAAGCATTTTTGTCCATCTACTGAGAGAGTGAGGACCAAGATGGCATCATACCATTGGATAGCAGAGAAGGCAATCCCTCTTCTAAAGGAGCCAAACATGGGTGCAAAAGAAAATACGTGAGCTAGAGGACAAGTATCAAGTCAAAATTAGGTATGGAACTGTGCATCTGGGTGTACAGAAGGCATCAGAACACATTTTTGGAACATGGAAAGAAAGTTTTGGATATTTTTTTCAACTTCAAGATAGAGATTGGGCTCAGAATGCTAGGAAGTTTTGTAGAGATAGACATCGTGAATAAGGAAGAAGGTGTATTTTTCTATAGATTCTTTTGTTGTTTCAAACCAAGCATTGATGGTTTTTAAATGGTTGTAGGTCATTTTTGAGTATTGACTCTACAGCTCTCAATGGTAGATGAAATGACCACCTACCTTCAGCTACAACAATAGATGTATCTAGTTGCATTTAGGTTTTTTGATAGTGAAATCCACCTCACCTAGCTATAAGTTCAGATGCTTACAAGGGCCTAGAAAATGCAGTGAAGGTGTACCCTTAGGCAGAGTATAGAGAATGTTTTGTCCATCTCATAAAGAATTTTAGCAAGAGAGTTTCAAGGGTTTGCATTTGGGAGAATGTATCCTGTAGCAAGGACTTTCCAACAAGAATACCATGAGTACTTAATGAACAAGATGTATGCAGTAAAAAAAGGTTAAACCATGGTCGAAAGCCAATCATAAGTTGAAGTGGATGAGGAGTAGATTCTCAGAAGTAATAAAGTGTGATCATATCACTAATAATGTGGTAGAGGTTTAGAATAATTGGGTGAAGGACATTAAGAACCTTTCCATAACTGACCTTGCTGACACTCTTAGGTCCAAGTTCATGGAACTTTATGCAAGGAGGAGAATATGTGAGAAATTTGAAGGACATGTCATGCTCCCAATAGTTGTTCGCCAACTATATGCAATGAGTCGGCAGTCGGGTCACTTGAACCTAAAAGAAGGCAGTCGCAAAAAAGACCTAAAAGAAGGACGTGATGAAGCAGAGGTGACAGAGATCATAGCTTCGCACAAGATCATAATACATGTGGTTAATATTAAAAACCACACATGCAGTTGTAGGTAGAGGCAAGTCTCAGGGAAATCGTGTCCACATGCTTTGGTTCTCATCACCACACAGAAATCCTAAGATGGAAGATTACCTCGATCCATACTACTCAGTGTACCATTTTAGACTAGCCTAGTGTATGATGGTGTGATCAAACCACTCCCTGATAAGTCTCAATGGGTACGTGTGGATCCTGGATTTAAAGTGCTGCCACCACTCACAAAGAGGAAGGTTGGAAGACAAAGGAAACTCAGACACCCTAACTGCACTAAGAACAAGAGAAGCAAGCCTAGGGGCAAAGGCATGTGGCAGGTGTAGTGTCAAAATTTCTTAGGTCATGGCCATAGGACAGCATCCCTAAAGTGCCCTCTCAGTGGAACAAAGAAGAGGTAAATGTGTATGTCATTTTAAAACTAACTTGTACTTGCTTCATATTTTGAACTTATTGCAATTTTACATTTACATAAAAAGTCGGGCCAAGAAAGGAAAGGCAGGTAGGCCTGCTGTTTGTAGCAAAGGTGATGTAGCTCCTAGTCCATCCAAATGGCAGAAGGTTAATGTGTAAGAAAATTCAGTGAATAATAGTCCTAAACCTGTTGAAGAACTAGATGGCACAAGACAAATCAGTACTAGTCCCGGGCCTGTTACAAGAAGGTGAATTTTTATACATTGAACATTGACTTGGAACTTGGAACACTTCTATATTTTAGGCTAAACATTTATCTCATTTTTAACCAAATGCAAATAACAATGGTGGGATTTGGAGGGGCAAATCAGATCACTACAAGCCCTAGAGTGGTGACAAGAAGGTAAAATGATTCACTGTGTTTAATATGTATGTGCTTATCTTAGTTCATGTTGTGAACCAGTCCATTTTTCTATGGTATTCAGTCAAACTAGAGAAGGGGCAAGTAATACTATGACCACTCCAAGGAAGAGGCTAGGTCCGACGAAAAAACTCACTCCAAAGAAGGTGAAGAAGATCGATGTTTGAAATATTCCTAGAACAATGTTATGAGACTTTTTTAATGTTCTAGCTAGATTCCTAGCCATCAGCATATTTCTTTTGTCTATGTGAACCTGTAGTATTGAATTGGCCGAATGATTCTATAGTCTCTATGTGAACCTATATGAACCTGTACTCTTTAAATTGCATGTATGGTTGTATTGTCGATGTGAACCTATTTACTAAATTGTATGGCTAGTTGTATTATCTACGTTGAAATTTGGTTATAATTTATATGTTGTTTACATTATTTTGACCATATATATTAGATCTGTGTAAAATTTGAGTTTTGGAGAGTATGCGAACTCATGGGCTGCCTAGCTGGGGAGTTGTCGGGGAGAAAAGCGCACGAATCGAGGGAAGCGAGGCGCTGGGCGAGCATCCATATCTGACAAGAGGGGAGGGTAGTGACGTCATTTCCCGTGCCCCAAACAACGTAAAGAGGCAGCCAGAAAAAGAAATGAAAGAAATCCTTCATAATCCCTTGGATTGAAACAATTCGCGTGCGCAAGATTAAATATTGAAAGGCTTGCGAATTCAATATTAAATATTGATAGGCTTGCGAACTCAGGGTTAAATGTTGAAATTTCTCCTTTCTACATGGCGCCAGTTAGCCACGAGGGAGATAAATTAGACTTTCTTGACTTCAAGAGGGTCAATTAGACTTATACAAGAAAAATATAGAAATATTTTTCAAAATGTATCAAAATATTTTTCTAGAATTAATATGTATTTAAAAATACTAAAATCTAATTTAACATTAGAAAAATAATAGAATTTTTTAACTTAGAAAAACATGAAACATGTATCACATTTTTCCTAAAATCATGCTCCTAAAATTTTTATAAATAAATTTGCAAAAAGTTATCCAAATATTTTTTTAGAACAAATATGTATTTAAAAATACTAAAAATTGATTTAATATTAGAAAGAATGTAGAAAAGTTATTTCAACTTAGAAAAATATGAAACCAATTTCATACTTTTTTCTAAAATCATGCTCTATATTTTTGTGAGCTGGGCACCATAATTTAAATCATTATTTTAGAAAATGCATAAAGTCCAACATCCTGAAGCTATCCAGTTTGCCTCACTGCTGAATCATGTGCTTTTGGTGCATGTGCAAACCTATAATGGCGATGACAAAAAGGAAGTGGTCGCATCCATTCGGTTGTTGCCGGCCAAGTCATAGAAGTTGGTTCGGGAGGCTAAGAAGTCGCATGCAGACCGCTGTTGTTGTGTATTTTTCGAGTTAAAACAATTTTTTATAACAATAAATCATGTCTTAGTATTTTTTAATGCATATTTATTCTAGAAAAATATTTGGATAATTTTTTGAAAAATATTTCTTTAATTTTTTTATAAAGTATAATTGACTTCCCCGAATTATCGTGAAAGTTTGATCATGGACGAGTCTAAAAATCGGTTTTCTAATTGAGAGAGGTAAATCTTAACAAATAATTTATCTTATAATTCTAAGTAATTACTCAAAACTTTTGAGTAATACAATTAGAGTAGTCGCAGTCCCATATATTATATTTTTTATTGAGGATGGAATAAGTAATATGTTGGAGATGCATTAGGACTTTGGTGGCATTGACCATTGGGTTGTTAGCCATGGTGTAACAATCCAAATAATTCTAAATGTGTCATAGAGCATACATGTGCATCATATTTGCATTCGTGATAATTTTGAGCATATTTTTAATATTTTTAATTTAATTCCAAATTAAAAACCATAGTTTTGGTATGTGTTTGTGAATGAACTTTGGAATTTATCATAGCACATATGTTATGAAATTACATGATAAAATACTACTCTCAAAATGTTGAATTTGCATGTTTTCCCCAAATTGTTGGAAACCATTTTTTGGCAAAACAGTTTAGCCAAAAAGTAAAAAAATAGTATTTTGGGAAGAATTTTTATTTAAAAACTACAATAGATATGATATCAATTCAAACAAATAGGTTGTTCTTCATCTATAGAATCTATTTATTTAAAATGTTACAAAATTTTTGGAAGTCACCAAGTATTTATTTTGATTTTGAAAAAGGTAAATAAAGAAAATAAAGTATGCTTTCTCTTCTTGGTTGAGTTCTTGACGTTATTATCATCTCATACTGCATGTTCATAGGTCCCTGGAGAACTAAGAAGGAAACTATTTATGTCACTGTTGGTATTTCTTTTGTCTCCTAGATAATTCTGCAAGTGCACAGAATATACCATTGTAGCACTTCACCCCTTGGTATTCTAAGGTATCGTTATTTATTTTATTATACGGGAAAG